ATTAGCCAGGCGACTCCATGTTGTCAGGCGCGCGCGCCCTCCCTGGCCTTCCCGCCTGCTGCCTCCACGAGCATCCCCCAGGCCGCCCGCCCAGCCTGACCACGTCTCCATCTGAAAGGAGCGGGGACGTAATTCCAGAAACCCATAAAATCAGGCCATCCCGTGGGTGCCGGACGCCCGCCTTCCGCCCCAGCTCACAGCCAGGCCCCACGTCTCCTCCGCCCGCCCTCCTGCGGGGAGCCGACCTCTCCCCTGCACCCCCAGCACGGGCTTTGCCGTGGGAAGCTGGGCCGGCACTACCCTCCCCACGCCGTGTCCTTCCGCCGCCTGCCCCGCCGCACCCAGCACAGCGCCTGGCACATAGGAGTGCTCGGTACGTGTGGGGTCGGCGCCGGGGCGTGGCTGGTGAGGATGGATGTGGACGCAGGGACCCGAGGGCTGACCAGCCCCCCTGTCGTTCATGGCAGTGCAGCAACGCGCAGCACCACGTGAGCGTAACCTCAGGATTGTGCGGGGGAAGTGGATGGAAAAGCTAGAAAGAAAACGTGGTCAGAGAAACTCAAGGATCAGGATTAAAATAGCCAGGGGCATGAGAGACAGATGAGTTTGGGACCAAGGGAAAGAGTGAGGAAGGCAGGAACACGGAAGTAGGAATTTCAGCAGATGAAACCCCACCAGGCCGCGGGAGGGAAGTGGAGACACGCTGGTCTTGTCAAGGTACAACGTGAAATAGTCCAGCAGACAAATCGATTGTCTGCACAGCCCACCAGGCGTCATTAATCCTCATAATAACCCTGACTGCCGGTGTTGTTTCCCCATCTGCGGACGGGGAAACTGAGGCTCAGGAAGGTGAGTGACTTGCGGAAGGGAGCGCAGCCGCGGGCGCGCAGGAGTGCGGGTCCCCAGGCCTGCCGCCCGGCTCCGCCCACTCCAGGCTCCACCAACAGACGGGACATCACAGCTGCGGGACTTGCCTGCCGCGGTGACCTGGGCCGGTCGCTCTCTCGCCGCGCGCTCACGCAGCCCTTGCGGCAGGACACGCACACGGTCCCGCCAGTAGCAGAGCGCCCGGTGCAGGCAGGAGCCCGGGACAGCGTCAGCGCATGTCCTCGAGCCCTCAGCTAGGCCCTCTGGCCTGGAGCCCGGGACCTGGCCTCACTCCGATTCTCCTCGCTGCGATGGGTCCATGTAGCTATTTTCTGCATGTTCGCTCTTGTTTCTATCTGTCTGGTTTGTCTGTTTTGCAGAGTTTTTTGTTCTCATGTGCGTGCGTGTGTGCGTAACTCTGTTGGAAACATTTCCTGCTCCCAGACTCCGCAGCGAGTCCTCCCGCCTCGGGAGACCCCCTTTAAACGGGAGCGGCTGCCACTGTCCGTCACCGGGTGGTGAGGACGAGGGGCGCCCAGGGGGCCTGTGCGGCTCTTGGTTCTGAACACCTGCCGGGATCCCCAGAGCGCCAGCCAGGCCCTCCTCCCTGCCGCCGGCACCTCAGGCCGAGCACAGGACTCCTGGGCTTAGAACAGGGCCCCAGGGAGAGAGGAGTTTGCATGAAAACAGCGCTCCTGCCCTGCCACGCATGCGCTCGGAGGGAGGCGCAGTGAAGAGCTTGTCGGGAGAGCGGGGACTCCAGACTGGCGCTCTGGCCGGTGTCACAGGTGAGCGGCCCCTGCAGCCAGCCCAGGACTCCCCCTCTCGCTCCCCAAGGAAGCTGGGGGCTCGGGCAGGTCCACGTTGGGGGCAGCACCAGTGGTCCTGGTGGCCCATCTTTGTTCTCCTCGATCCTCCAACAGTACCTGGCGCATGTGGCTCCTATAGAACTGTGGTCCCCAAACTGCAGGCCGTGGCCTGTTAGGGACCAGGCCACAGAGCTCCTCCACCTCTGCCCAGCAACACGGAAAAGTTGTCTTCCATGAAGCTTAGGAACTGGGGGCCACACAGCAGGAGGTGAGGAGATGGCCGAAGCTTCATCTGTATTTACCGCCGCTCCCCATCGCTCACATCGCGGCCTGAGCTCTGCCTCCCAGGCCCCCATCCGTGGAAAAACTGTCTTCCATGAAACTGTCCCGCCAAAAAGTGTGGGGACTGCTGCTGTGAAGTTAATATATGCGTAAATTTCTCAAAACTTTTAAAATCCATTTACACCCCCAGCCAGAACTTCCTTAGGAAAAGACTTCTCAAAGTTTCCTTTCCACCTTGCAAAACAGTAACTGCTTTTCTCTGTCCTGAACTTGCCTGTTTTTCTGTTGCATGTAAAGCCTGTCCACCCCCAGGATTTCTGAAACGGATGAGCATTCGGGGCCTCCTGGCCGCATGTGACCTCAGCAAACCCCCAAACTTCACCGCCCAACAGGAGAGAACGTCACTTTCCTTAGGAAGTTTTCACGTGACAACCCCTGTAAAACCTGTAAAATGTATCAAATGTGTATTTCTTTAATTTAATACACCTGTCATTATTCACCTGACAGTCCTAAAAGCTGAGCTGAGAAAATTAGCATTTGCTGTGGACG